ACATTTTTTTGAAGATGAATATCAAATTAAATCTTTATATTTGTTTGATACTGAATGGTTATTAAACAAACTATACAGAAAAGATCTAAAAATCTGATATGAAAGAATATTTTATCTCAATGTTTTTTATCCTCGTCATAAATTCGATGTGCAATATCGGTTAAAATATAACCTAGAAGATTGAATCCTCTCCAATTTGAACGTTTTTTAATCAATTGATCGTTTTCGCGTAAACCCACACCCCAAATACAATCATTTGCTGCTGCTTCAACAAATAAACTGTCATGATACTTTAACAGAGCTTGTTTCAATTGTTCATTTTGTGTAAACTAGAAAAAAATGAAAAAAAAATAGTTTTTAGAATAGTCAATAAGAAATTTATATCGTACCTTTAGATAAAGTCCATTTGAAACGATGCGAGTACGATTTTCATGCCATGTTTGTTGATCAAAGTTTTCTACTGAACGTCCTAATGCTTTACATTTGTCTGGTGTTCCAGCTCCAAGAATTTTTTGAGCTATATTATTATCATTAAAAAGTTCTAAAATATATCAAATTTGTAAAAAGAATTTATTTTAATTAATATATATTTACTCGCTTTATGGTACATCATATATTGTTCACTACAATGAAACGTAAGATCATTCTCTGTAATTGTGCATGGATGAAAATTGCTGAATGGGGATGCTGTTGAATAGAAGAAATGAAATTTATCGGGCTCATTTCTTTGAAAATGTGAATGAACACGATTTATAAGTTCGATTTCTGTCAAACTCAATGAAGATTTTGGCAGATCATTTGATGCCATTGCAGAGAAATTGTGGATCACTTGTTTTCGTCGAACTATATACACCAAATGTTAACTAATAGACAGATAGTGTTTGAAATGGACACTTATAATTTAGCTTTACTTTATATATGTGTACGTATGTTAAAAAATCCTCTTGTTGACTCATGGAGGAAAAATAAACTTCCTTTGTGGGAAAAAGTGCTTGCATCAATATTGAGTAAGTCAATAACGTCATGTTAAAAAGAATGATAGAACAATCAAGAATGAAGTTTTTTTTTCTTGTGAGATTACTTTAATCATCGAAACAGGTTTGACAGGCAGCGGCAAACTTTATGGAATGTGCGCTATGCAAAATTTTACATGAGGACTGAGTTCATATACGTGCATATTATTTTAATGCGGATTCGTTAATAGAGAAATAAACATATTTCTACTACCAGAATCATACAAGATCAAAATCTTTTTTATGAAGCATAAAAGTTCTTTTCTCATAACATTTGTAGGGATTGACTTTCATGTCTGCTGCGGTCGAATAAAACTGAGAGATTTGGTAGATTTAACTGATTGCATATTTTCTGCGTTGTTAGCTGGTTGAACGATTGTAGGAGTGTTTTCTATTGCAACTAAAAGAAAAATTGAAACTTGAGAATTCTTTCACATCTTCAAACATTTTCATGTTGTTATCTTTCTAAGAGCACATTTGAGAACAAATGAAATTCGATTAAGTGCGCGGAGAAAGTCATGCAATTCCACGTTCATCATTCTCTGTTAAAAAAGATAGTGGATTTGTAAGTTTCGCAAAACTTTAATTCGATATTTAGTTGTAAAAGCTACGAATTTATTCAATCAGTGAAGTATTCATTTTCTAGTGTGATCAAAATATTTCTTTCATTTTATTTGAAAGAGTTGTAGCAATGCTTTTTCTGATTATCTATGTAGGAAAAAATATGATTGAACTTTTCATAAAAATATACTTATTAACAGATGAAGGTTCAGAAATGGGAACAATCATGATAAACAAAAAGAGATTTACTTGATATATTGTTCCGAATCTTGAGTTCACGCGCCACTTGGCATACAGCATACAGCGCACATCAAAAAATCACTGAGCAATCACCACATGGTTATTCGAGAAGACCATATTTGAGACGGAGAGCTCTTCGATTATCAGTAACTGGTATCCAGATGATAGAGTTCTGTCTAGAATCGCAATATGTCCAAAACGCTTCATCATAATTACTGCCATCAATCTGTA